TTCGACAATTTGCAGTATTGTTTGAACGACATCCGACCAATTTAATCAGAAACTGATTCGGTACAAGTCATTTGGCTAATTGTGCCTACAAATTTGTACGAAATTAGGATATCACAGGTTCAATTAGGTTCACAAGATATATTTAATAAATTAAACATATAATTTGATTATGTCAATTTCATAAATTGGAACTCTATCATGTTTAGTTAATACTGCTCTTGTCAAAAAAAAATATGTTGTGCTTCTGATCATCGAAGAAGGTGGAAGGAGAGAAAAAGGGTGAGAGGCACCGGTGGAAAAGAGGAAGAGTAAAAGTATTTGTTTTATCCTGCAAATTTTTATCATTGGATTAAATTATAATCTATAGGTATTAAAAAAGATAGACAAAGATAGGTAGAATAAAGATAGACAGAATAACATATTCTTATATATAAAAAAAAAAAATAAACATAAAAATTCCACATAATCCGATCCACTACCATTATACACCCTCCCTAGGCTAGGTGGACGTACTTAGCTCCATTCAATCTTCACCTAAAATTCATTTTCAAACAGTTAATGTCAATTCGATCCTCACTTACTACCAACTACGTGGAACAATTTGAGCCATTCGTTTTTGAGATTATTTATTCTGAACAAGGACCACCATTTTTTAGGTGGTTCCTTAGTGTAAATAAGAGGGTAAAATTAAAAAAAAAAGAAAAATAACAGGGATAAAAAAAAAAGAAAAAATTAATGATATAAAAGGAAACATTAAAAAATTCAATGATCATGAAACATATTAAATATTTCCTTCGTTTTTAGTGTAAAGCCCCATCTTTCAATTCTTCGTTCAATAATGCAGATAAGGATATCAATCATATAGCAAGCATTAAACACATTGGAATTGAATCAAAAATCGATAATTTGCCATCAACTAAGAAAATTCATTATTTTCGTTTTAATGTTCGTACGATGAGGGTATATGTGATGTGTAAGACATGATAGTATAAGCTTATATTATACGTTATGATATTTTTAGTTGTTTGGTGTGACCACCGTATAGTATAAGCTTATACAGCATAATCCCTTAATACATCAAAGCGATGTATAACTTAATCTGGCCTTAGGGTGAGGGATAAGACCTGATAAGAGATTGATGTATTAACATCGTTGACCAATGTAATTCTCAAAAATTAATATATTATTTTAATATTAATCTATTAAAATAAAAATTTATTTTTCAATATATTAATTTTTAAAATATTGAATATTTTTATTTTTATAAAAAATAATTTATATTTTGGACACACTGATCAATAATTTTTTATAAAAATTAATATCATATGACATTTTTTTGAAGAATTATATAAATTCTTTATTAAAGGATATTTTTATTAAAAATATTTATTTTTATCATATATAGTATTATACAGTGCATTACCAAATACTAGATGATATTATCTTATACAATATATTATTTTATACAATACCGTGCCAAACGCTTGATAGTATTAAAATTCAATCAGATCTTATACAATCTGGCATTATACTATCAGGTCTTATACTATCAAGCATTATCATATACTATGCACCAAACATACCCTGAATATAGATAAATTATTTATTTTTTATTTTTAAAATAACGTCGTTTTGTATTGAAAAATTTAAAAATTATAATAAAAAAGACTATTATAACTCTTAAACAAATTATAATGACAAATATATTTTGATTTCTACTTAAAAATAACGTCGTTTTGAATTTAATATAGATAAATTATCTACATTAACAATAAAAAAACCCTTTGTTTTTTTGTACGTTCATTATGCATTTTTTTATAAACATTCCATGTCCTCTCAGAAAATTTCTGGACATCTATATGATCCGAGAGCATAAGCTCCCATTTTAAAAATAGTAAAAAAAATGGATTTAGATGGAATTTTAAAAAAAAAATTTCTTTTTTAGTAAATGACCATGGTATAGTATTGTGGGCCGGGAGCATATTAGAAAATTCCGTTGATGAGAGGCTTTTCAATAGATATCAAATGATCTTTGCCAGCACATTAGCTTCCCTTTAATAGATATCAAATGATCTTTGCCAGCACATTAGCTTCCCTTTCGTTTACTATATATATATATATATATATATATATATATGAAGTTGATATTTTTATGATCATTTTAGATAATGTTATCTACAGCTATTTCAAAAATTATGTCATTTTGATTAATAAATGGTGGTTCTATAATTTTAGATGAATTAATGAAGGGTGTTTCTGTAATTTTATTTTTATCATATGAATTTTACTGAAACACCTATCATTAATTCACCTAAAATTACATAAACATCATTCATTAATCAAAATGATATAATTTTTAGGCAGCTATAGATAATTTTATCTAAAGTGGATGTAGAAATAAATATATATATATATATATATATAATCAATTTATTCTAATAAAAAAATAAGAAGTTTTATATACAATTTTACTTATTAATCCCACTTATATTTAATAATTTATTTAATTAATAAATTAAAATTATTAAATATAACAGAACCAGCGAGTAAAAGTGTGTATAAACCTTCCTCCCTTATAACTTTGGGTACGTTTTTGTTTTCTTAAGCTAACACTGGCTCGAACCCCTTAATGAACCCTACCTGCCTGTACTCACTCCCGTTTAAAGACGACAACTCATACTCGCTTTTGTGAAAATATTGAAAACGTGCACCCTATGTGACGAATGAAAATTTCAAATCTACCGACAAAAGTGATCATAATTGGCTAAGCATCTGGTCTATATCTACATAAGTTCAAAACATGACAGTTAATATAATTAAGGACTTTATTAATGAATGATATGCAATTTTTTTTAAAATTTCTCAAAGAGATTATGAATTTTTCCTGAACTTAATAGGATACCATTATATCTAACCCTATTTACTTTTGTCCCAAAAAAAAAAAATTCAAACAAATTTGTATGAGTAGCATAATCAATTCATATCGTACCATTGAAAGATAAGACATTAATACTTCCAAAACAAATTAATACTTCCTCATGTACCAAAAAATATATATATATATTAATACTTCCTCTACCTTTGTCCTACTCGGTGTTTTAAAACCCGGCTCGGACCTGTCGGGTCGACCGGGGACTTGGTGACCCGGTGGGTTCCCTGTTCCGAGAAGGTAGTTGGACCGCTTCTGCAGTCAACTCAGATTGGACCGGTTGACCCAGCCGAAACCCGGTTGACCCGGTGACTCGATTGACCCGGGTTAGACCGGTTATTACTTCTTCTCTTTTTGGTAAATTTTTTTTTTTGTTGATAAGAACTCTTGAATTAAATCATATTCATATTTTATGATGAATATGATTAAAAGTAAGGTGAAAAGTAAGGTGAAAATAATAAGGTATTTTAAATTAGTGCAGTTCGTTTATGTAATTTAGTTGCATCTTATAATGATCTCATGAAGTTAAGTGGTGATAAACACTGATGGTCTCATGATCTCATCTCAACGGTGGACACTTTTTTTAGTGTATATTTCATGCATACTATTTGTTATCATGATAACGGTGACATTATTTTCTTAGTGTATATTTCATGCATACTATTTGTTATCATGATTTAATTTATCCGTATCATGTCAAGCACAAAAGGTGCATTTAACTTATATTGCAATTTTAATCCAATATTAGGATATGGTCTAGAGCTAGAAGCTTAGAAGTATATAATATTTGCTATCATTGAAAATCAATTTATTTTTTGAAGCTCATTGATAATTTTCTTATGTGAATTTTTATTAATATAAGTAATATTTTTATACTTTTAATATGTGAACAGTAAGTCCAGTTGAACCCGGTTGAACCAGTGACCCAGTACCTCGATCGGTTTGATGACCGATCCGAGTTTTAAAAGAGTGGTCCTACTTTTAATAACCAGGTAAATAAAAACATCTTCCAACCAATGAGCATAATTATAATTTCAACAAGACGGGTAAAATACCTACGACATGGGGCAGGTCGAATTGGGGGAGAATATTATTAATTCTTAAACTCTATCCGTTGTAAATATAGTCCTTTAGGAATCTTGTGAAAGAATAAAAATTTTATTAAATAATTATAATTTCAAAACAAAAAAAAAACTACTTTTAACTAAGCTACCCTTTCATTGTGCTCTTTTTAATTCCTCGTAATAAAAAGACCAAGACATTAGTATAAAATTAAATAAAATAATTAATATTTTTTACTTTTCAAATATATCGACGAAGAAGGTTATAATTACAACCTATTTTCGTTTACAATTTTTTACAATCATATCTTAACCGTTGATTTCCGTCAATCAACAGTTATTATTTTTGCAAATCGAGCTCATTAATTAATTATTAATTCGCAATAAATGATAAACGTTGATTGACGAAAATCAACAATTAAGATATAAATTGTAGGAGGTTGTAAACGAAAATAGGTTGTAACTTGTAAGTATAACCTCTCTCTAGATCGACAAATATAATAAAGTACATTTTTTTATTGAAAGAGACTAATATTTTAAAACAGAAGAAGTATATGCTTTACGCATTCTTCTGTTAAGATATGTACAAGAAGATGAATTGAATTTTATCATAATTTTATTTTGCACCGTTGAAATTACGCACAACTTACACATTGTGTAAGTAATAAACATTATTATAAGATTTGTGGCCATTGTTTAACTTTGTTACTTAAAATGGACAAAGGGCAAGCTCTGATATGTATGGCCCCTCATATGTGAGGGTAGCAGTAAAAGTCAATTGTATGTAATTTTATACTTACATTTTTGTAAGGGTATTTTTTTTCAGATTTGAACTTGTAACCTTTTGATGACAAGAAATAACATGCTTGCCCTCTTAATCTTGGTACTTGCATCATCAAAAAAATGTCTATAAATAGCCACATCGCATTTGTGAATGATACTCAAAGTGTTCATTCTTTCTTTGACACCCCTTCAACTTATATTCTCTTCTGAAGTATATAGACCACTCAATGGCTCCATTCCTTTTGTTTGTTTTCATGTTTGCTAGTCAACTGATTACTGGATTCAATGAAAAGCTACCACCTCCTTTATATGGAGACGCGATACACGTTCTGAGCATCGACGGTGGTGGTATCAAGGGGATTATTCCCGCACAAGTTCTTGATTACTTAGAGAAGGCACTTAAGGTTAATAATTTTGTCTCTCTTTGCACACTCATGCATATATATTGTTGGAAATTTAATTGTCAGTGATAAAAATTTACCTTTAAGTAGAAATGCATGCTAAGTAAAAAAGACTCGTAAATCTAATATTTTAAAGTTTTGGGTTGAGATATGATGTACAGTCCACTATTAATGGTGGATTGTCACTTACATATATGAGGTACATTATTCTTACATCTGTGTAAGACTACGAAATCTTACACTCCTATCGAGTGGATCATTTTACATATACGGTGTAAGTTATAATTATAATCTTAACAGTTAATCTTATTTATATCTAACACTTCTAATTTTTTTATATATAAATCATTAGATGCAGATAAATCAATAATTATGATTGACTATAAGATGTCTTACTCTTGTAACAGTGTAAAACAAGTTTCCTATGATTTTAAGGACAGAATTTTTGTTTTGTTTTGGTTTTGTTTAACTGTCATCATTCAATTATGGAGACAGTAAAATGAAACAACAGATTTGAATTCCTTCTGTGAAAGGGTGTAATATGTTATTCCTGGAAGCACTTTCTCCAAAGATTACAGAAGAAAAAAATATTCATTTTCACAAACACCACACAAACTCACATGCGAAGAATAGAATAACATCTTGGTTCATGCAAATCGTCCTTAAAGTCTATAATGGTTCTTTTAGGCTAAAATCTATGCATATATCCTTATTAGGTGAAAAATTCATGTGCTACTGTTTATATTACTCCATTGTTACATAATAATTGAAATTTTCACCTTCACCGGAAATCTTCATCTCTTAGGAGATATCATATTATTACTCCATTTGATTGAATCGCAGGCTAAGAACGAAACTTCAAGTTTAGCAGATTATTTTGACGTGATAGCAGGGAGTAGTACAGGTGGACTTATGACTGCTATGCTAACTAGCCCGCACCCAAATTACCCCAGTAGTCCTTTGTTTACTCCTGCAGAAATCGTACAGTTCTATATGAATAATGGCTCTGAAATATTCAAAAACAGGTATATATATAAAGGGGATTCTATTTGTCATTTAACATGACACAGTAAACTTTTCTACACACATAATATTTTGTGAGGTCCACACTTTTTGAAAAAAAAAAGGTAAAAAAAGAAATTACACGCAAAACGAATCTTTATAACGTTACACAATCATTTTTCCTACAACATAATTCTTATAAAACCTATATATAAAAATAGGGGTTTGAGCTCTCCAGCGACGGGAATGATTTCTCTTCTCCCGCAGACAGCAAACCATAATGGGGCCCACCTTTAAAAAAAAAAAAAAAACTAAACAAAAAATATTCTGTATCTATGACATAAGAATACACTTCTCCGTGAAAGGAGAAGTGTTTTTCCCATAAATATATAGGGTAATAGTTTTCTTATACAAATAACTATTATCTCTTACATACTCATTTGTGCAGGTGAGATCCACTTTCAAGGGAAAAGAAAGAAAAATTAAATAGAGTGAGATCTGTCTTGAATTTGTATGTGTAAGAAATAAATTTTTTCTTATATAACATACAAATAATAAATCTCATAGTTATATAATAGTAAATCTCATAGTTTTGGAGGAATCACTTTATAGGTTCTTCTTAAAATATGACTAAAAGAGAGAAAATATGCAAGAGTATAGTGACTCTATCTTTAAGCAGAGAGAAGGGTTATAAGTGTTCCGTATACTACCTCACCGTGGATGAGGAATTGTTACACCAACTTGTACGATGTGTGAGTTGGACAAGGGAGTGAAAAATCATCTACAATGAGATCTATGTGTTCAATTCTTGGAGTCAATGGAATGACCCCTTTGCAACCCAGCTCAAGTATTGGGAGCTAAGCAGCATAAGAGCATATGTTTGATCTTCTTTCTAGTATTATTTTTTAAAGAGGTTTAAAGTCTTAATTCTGAACTCATCTCGAATCAGACTAATCGCGAAATGATGAACGGATGAAATATTTCCAAAAAAAAAGTATTGGGTTGGTCCAATATATATATATATATATATATATATATATATATATATATATTGAGAGGGGTAGGATTCTTTGACACCAGTGTCAAATTTAAAGTTTGACATCTCATCTGAGAGCCATTAGATCAAAAAAATCAACGACTCTGATTTGTAAGCATGTGACATCATTGATTTTTTTTATCTAACGGCTCTCAGATGAGGTGTCAAACTTTAAATTTGACACTGGTGTCAAAGGATCCTATCTCATATTGAGATATATATTTGGGATTTATTATTCTTATGTTACATAAGAAAGAATCTATCTCCTACACACAAATTCAAGATAGTCTCACTCTATGTTTCCTCTCTCTCCCTAAAAGTGGACTTCGTCTGCACAAATGAGTCTATAGGAGATAATAGTTATCTCCTAGCTACTATATGAGAAAACTATTACCCTATAGGGATTTATTATTTTATGTTACATAAGAAATAATCTATCTCCTACATACATAAATTTAAGATGGGTCTCACTCAACTAAATGCAAGTTTTTGGATTCTTTTCTTCTTCTTTTTCTTTTTTTTTTTTCTTTAAGAAGTTTTTGGATTCTGATGATGAAACAACATGCAGAACTTGGAACTGGTATTCTAAATATCCCAGATATGATGGAGTGTTCTTACATAATATAACTCGTGAACTATTGAAAGAAACACGACTGAATCAAACATTGACGAATGTTGTAATCCCAACCTTCGACCTGAAGAAACTCAAGCCAGTGATATTCTCAAGCTATAAGGTTAGCATAGTATATGGGTTTGATGTTAGTAATCTAGGACATAAAATTATCTTTTACACGCATATAAAAGTGTGGATCCATGTGAAAAGAAGAGAAAGAAAACAAAAATATGATTCCAAGCACTTTTATGTGTATAGCAAATAATTTTATCTCTTATGATATGAAAGACATTAAACACTTAATATATATATATAAATATAGGGGGAAAAGTTTCCGATGTTACTTTAGATAACTTTATCTAATGTTCATCGAAATGACGTCGTTTTGGGGTTGAAAAATTAAAAAATTAGAGTGATAAAGACTATTATAACCCTGAAATAAATTAAAATTATAAAAATACCATAATTTTCGTCCCAAAACGACGTCGTTTTGATGAACATTAGATAAAGTTATCTAAAGTAACATCAGAAAAAACAAACCCATATATATATATATATATATATATATGTATATATAAGTGATTTTCGGTCATATAATTTCAAAACAACATTATTTTGGGGATTTGAAAAAAAATTCATATATTTGGAGAATTTTCTTTCTTATATTTTTCAATATGAATTTTTCCAAAAGATCTAGTTACCATATGTTTGTGAATATTGTTTGTGCAATTTTTTATTTTTTATTTTGGTGAATTGTACGTTTGTGCAACTTTGATGATGCAGCTCAAGACACTTCCAAGATTAAATGCCAAACTCTCAGATATATGCATAGGGACTTCAGCTGCACCAAGTTATCTACCACCCTATTACTTTGAGAATGATCATACTGAATTCAATTTGATTGATGGTGGTGCGGCAGCAGCTAATCCGGTATAAATTAATTAGATGATTACAACTACAAGTAATCAAGTCCATTCACGAGTATTCAACTAATAATTAAATGAAAGATTGAAAGATTGAAATTGCATAAATTAACTATTAATTGTCTTTTACGTTTTGTCCCATTTTAAATTCTTATTAAATGAAAGATTGAAAGGTGGAGATTGCATAAACTATTAATTGTCTTTTACGTTTTGTCCTATTTTAAATTCTCATTAAATGAAGGATTGATAGGTGGAAATTGCATAAACTGTTAATTGTCATTTACGTTTTGTCATATTTTAAATTCCTTTTAAGGCTTTTTTTTTTAGCATTCTTTTCAAGGCTTTATCCTTTCTAACAAACTATATATCAATTTATCTTTATTTTCAAATAATGTATTAATTTATTTTATTTGATCAAAGTTTGTCCAAATCTTAATCATTCGGAAGTAATTTCCTCGAGTAAATGTCAGAAATCTTAAAGCTTTAAATTTATTTATAAATCATTTCATTTATACGTATCATGTTTAGCATATTTATTTTCCATGTGGGCTTTTTATCGCTCATACTTAAATTTCCAACATATACCGTATATGAAGTTTCACAAGGTGAAATTTATTTCAGACACGGACTGCTATAGGTGAAGTGATACAGCACCATAATTTTACCAAAATCCGTGTGCTATCTTTAGGAACTGGAATTCAAAAAGTTGTGGAGAAATATGATGCTAAAAATGCTTCTACTTGGCAAAGCTTTAGTTTGAACTCCAAACACGTTACTTGGTCATCAGTTTCATCAGAAATTTTGAGTCGTGCTTCTTCAGACATGGACGATTATTACCTTGCCACAATGTTCCCAGGCCTCCAGCTTGAGGATAATTCCCTTCGAATTCAGGTATATAGTTTTTATAGTTGCACACTGCTTAAAGGGTTTTTGTCAGAGAAATATAACATAAAATATAAGACTTTTAATGTGTCTTCGCCTAACCGTATTGGATGATTTATTTCAGAATAATTGATGATATATGATCATGTAATTAATGGCAGGAATATAACCTGGATAAATCCATGGATTCCCTTGATAATGTTACAAAAGAAAACTTGGACAATCTTCAAAATGCAGGAAATCAACTTTTGCAAGAAATAGTTATGAAGAGGAATGTGGATACTTTTGACCTAGAGGAAACAGACCAGACATATGCTAAGGCTCTTGACAGGTGTGTAATGTTCGAAATGAAATTCAACTGTGAGTTGGATAGAAATAGGTCGAGATCATATAAGTGAAAAAGACCTATATATTCATAGTTTTAAAGTTTTGAATTAAAATGTGATGTTAATTATCCCACACAAAACCACTTTTTACTCTAAAACGGACTAACTATATTGTTAGAAACCTCATACTACTTAGAACATAACATAATTAAAATTGAACAAGTGTGATCACCGTAATAACATACTCCATTATCTTAACGTTTAAGGTAGATTTTAATTCCTATATATATATATATTTTAATCAATTTGGTCTTTGGTCTTTATCATACCTTTTTGTATATTTTATCTAGTTTCACCTATTTGAGTTTTGGTCCCAACACTAAAGATATCAGTTTATATATTTTTCACTCATTTGGATGTTAGTATTTGTAGTTTTACACTTTTTTAGGGTATTAAATTATGTTATTCATAGAAGACTGATCTCTATAGCTTAAATTACGTAGGTGTTTGTTACTGAAAAACCAAAACCTTATAGTTGAAAACTATAAGAACTATACCCAAAAAAATAAAAATAAAATTAGGAGATAAAACCCACAAAAAATGAATTATGTGAACCCAAATATTATTTAAAGTAACGTATGTTAGTGCCATTGGAATATTGCGGAAGCGTAAGAATCATTGCAATTTCGAATGCGAAGAATCATCATCATCCTTTGTTATATAAAATCATACCTCTTGTTGCTTAGACCCACGAGGAATCCGTTTGTGTTGGTGTTGTGATCGATTTCACCTCTGCTGCCACAGAATCTCCTCACTTCATCATCAAGTCTCCTCCGTGTCATTGCACAATCAAGTCTTCTTGCCGAAGATGGCTACATATAGATCTTCCAGGCTATTATTAAGGGGAAGGGGAAGGAGTATGTTAGCACTTTAGGATTTCAATTTTCTCAACTCACATTAAGTTGATGAATAAAGTGGGGCTATTAATATGGGCACCAAGAAATTTCAACCCTTGCCTTCTTGGACACTTCTAGTACACCTAGTCCAATTGGGTTTTTGATAAAAGAACAAAATCTGACAATCTCTCACTTGCTCTTAAAAAAAGAACGATGATGATTCATCACATTCTAAATTAGAATGATCTTTATGCTTTTTGCAGATTAAATTGCACCAACAATTGGTATTAGAGCATAAACCCAACAACTTAAAGTATGATAGATGGAAGTCAAATCTCAAACGAATTATTTCTCAAGTTAATGATGATTACGATTCGTGTTGGAAAAAGGACGTAAGCATACTATATTTGTTCAGTTCAATTATAATATGGAATGCTAATTTTTTAGAACTGTGTTTTTATTTTATGAAGCTGGGCTGAGATATTGTATGAAGAGAGACAGCTACGTCTGAAAAGGAAATCAATGGAAAAAGGAGGATGATCATGTTTGGCCGAACCCAAGAATCTTAGGCATTATCAATGAATGTATTACAATAAATGCCAAGTGTGTGGCCTTGTATTATATTGTTGTGTGTTTTATTAACGCTGCCTGTAATATATTTAAGTATCTATGCTTGTTGTAATAAGGTTCAATGTGAGTGAGCTCTATGCGGCTCCTAACTACGACGACCACATGTATCAAATTATCAATGTATGATATTATATAATTAATCCCTTGTTGCGTTGCTTTTCTCTTGTGTTTTAAGACTTTTTCCCCTCTCATCTACTACTTACCGTTGTTTGCTTCATTTATTATCAACATTTTTAAAATCGGCTCGGTCATGACTTGTTAAGGTACCGAATCATTGAAATATTGGTTTAACCATTGGATCATTAGTTCAATTGCATGGCTTGGAGATTATATGTAAATTTATAATTTATATTAATAAAATTATAAACACACTCAAATAGCTAAAAAAAATAATATAAATTTTAAATATTTTAATATAAAAAATAATAAATTACACATTATTGTCTAATAAAGAATCAAATCAAAAAAATTTGCGTAGTACATAACTAAGATAATATTAATATCGTAGGTACATAACCAATGTAAGTCAATAAGCAATTGATCAATCAAATATGTCTATTATGATTTTTTTTTTGGAAATTTTTTTAAATAATGGGGTCACCAGTTTCACCAAAACCGGCCAGAAATTATTTATTGGGAATTAATAATTAATTAATAAGTTTGATTGACGGAAATTATAACCGTTGATTGGCGAAAATCAACGGTTAGAATTTGGTATCAACTTTCAAAGTTTGACACCGGAGTCAGACTTTGAAACTGGTATCATTTATTGAGAATTAATAATTAATTAATAAGTTTGATTCCCAATAAATGATGATCGTTAATTGGTGGAAATCAACGGTTAAAATTTGGTGTCAAATTTCAAAATTTGATATCAGTGTCAAAGGATCCTACCTCATATATATATATATATGAGGTAGAATCCTTTGACACCAGTTACAAATCAGAGTCGTTGATCTTTTTTGATCTAATGACTCTCAAATGAGGTGTCAAAAGATCCTATATATATATATATATATATATATATATATGGCTTATTATATGTTATCACAAAGCTTGGACTTCTACTTGTTAAGGATCAAGCCGGTCTACTACTGAAGAAGAAGATGAGGAAGCTTCTTTCTCTATTCATTAATGAAGAAGAAATTGAGAAAAGAATGTTGCACCCCCACCCATAAACGTTTGAGCCCACAGTAACAATGATAAAAGGCCTGACTCTACTAAATTGTTCATAGGCCGAAAAGCCCAAATTATTATTCCATTAATGTTGCTGTTTTACTCTAACTCGGGATTTGGGACAATTTTGAATTGCTTTTACTTCAATGTGCCATTTATTGATCCAAGTATCCAACAGCACTTTTCTTTAACTCGAGTTAAAGATTGAGTACAATATATTTAAAAGTTTGACGGAGAGAGGCAACCCTGCCGTTGACTTTTCTCGGAAAATGCTTTTGGATTATGATCTATAATCAAAGAATGAGAGTTTAACTTCTATTTTTTATGCACAAAATGATAGTTTAACCACAAAATTAGGCCAACAAACCACCATTTATTTTCACAAAAGATAGGATAGACATGTGTGTTTCTCTAGTTCTAACAATGTATGAAACTCAATGATTAACGATCAATGAGGGCAGAACAATAACCAACATGTGATCCCTTTAATACAACTTAGTCCCATTGTTTAAAAGCATAAATTATTATAATTGTAAGTCATTCATTAGATGGTGGTATAATATAAATGAATTCCTCTGGTTTCTACACCGGAGAGATAATTTTTATAATATCATTTTCATAGTAAAAGTTTTTTGAATTAGGTTGTTGTAGGAAATCTTATATTTATGCGGAAGCGGTTTAGGACCTAGTACATTGGTATGCTGACCGAATCATCCTTGTTTCACAATTACCTCTCGGTGCGCAGGTCTCGTGTAGAATCTTCCCTTGTAGGATTCCTCTTCACGAACAGCTCACCTCAGCGCCGCAGCACGAACAACCTCCTTGAAGCTGGACTGTGGCAGATCTTCCAAACTATCTCTCGAGGAGGAAGGGGAAGTGTGTGGGCACTGATTAGATTCAGAGCTTGCCTCTTTCTCACAAAAAAGACCTTGGAGGCTGATGACTTAAGAGGTACTATTTATATGGGTTCCAAGAAACCCTAGCTCATTGGGCTCTAGGTTCCTTGGGCTCTTCTCATACTAATAACCCATTTGGGCTTTAGTAAAAGAGCAAACCCAACAATCTCCCACTTGCTCTTTTGGATACAAACTTGAGTCGTAAAACCCAAGATCATGTAATCCATAAGTCATCATCTATCCGAAAAATACCCCATCCCTTGTCTCAAGCTAGCTTGGGGATCTACCATCTGTTATTAATCAAGGCTCCTGATAATCAACGAATGATTATCTAATTCGGTGCTACTCCACTAAAAGCCCGAACTTGAACTCCAAGATTAACAACACTTATAACATGAATATGCATCGCCCCTTTGTAGAATGTCTATAATTGATTGACAAGTTTTCTGTAACTCAATCAATTATTTATTCTCTTGACTATGATAGTTTCTTTAATGGATTACATGCACTGGCCAGTGTCTTTAATATCCAAGTACCGAAACATATCAAGGGGACATATCCTACAAATTCCATGTTGTTTATCTCATAAATACTGATAATCAAATAATCTCACTCCCAAAATACCGAGTTATTGGCCGTCAATAGATCGAACCTCACCCGTTGGTAAATCAAAGAATGAAAACTATTTGATTACCTATTTATAATAAACTCAGGATTAAGAGCAATCACATAACTATAGTTAACTGGAGATTTGATACTTTATGACAGGAAAAACAACCTTAATCAAATCTCTCCTTGATCCTTTCAATGTGAATGTTAATTCACACCAATATTTTCCAATGATTCGGACAAAACCATTTCATAAAATATTGCAGCCTAAATAAAGTGCCCAACTTTATTTAACAGCTGTGAATCCATTCATCAATTGTGAGAACCTATGATCATGTCCTCCATGAACGTATCCATATGATCATATACTCCACAATTTGATCCGGACCTTTATGTTTGTAAATAGTGCGCAAAATAAATAAATAAAACCTTATTTATGAAATTCAGAAAATTATTTTATTGTTTCATGGTCTTACTCCAAGAGCACAATGAAACCAATAACTCCCACTTGCTTAATGCAAGTCCGGGATCCTCTTAAGACCCAAAGAAGTAACATGCCTCTCGAACACAAGTTCAGGCAAACTCTTAGTAACTGGGTCTGCAAGATCCACCTCTAATGCTATCTGAGTTTAGTGAAAAACTCATAGCTCTAGGTTGATTTTCTTAAGTCAATATCCACTTGAAATAACTGAATTTTTGAAAACTCAGCTTTTCAAGACTCCCACTAGAATATACCAGCATATAATCTCTCGTTCTCCAAAGATACTTGAGTACATGCTTAACAATAATCTAGTATTCCTCTAGGTTCAAAATGGTACTGTCTCACTACTCCCACTACGTGACAGATGTTTGGTTTAACGCCCAACATGATATGCGTGAGTCTACCTCTGCCAAAGCATAAGATATCTTGCTCATGCATTCTTCCTTCTTAGAAGTCTTTGGTCACTCCTTAGGAAGATGAATTCCACATCTGAGAATTATAATTCTTCTCTTAGAATTCTCATGTTGAATTTTGGGTTTTGTCAATGTAAGTAGCCTGAGGTGATGCCAACAACTTATTCTTCCGGTCTCATAAGAGTTTTATACCAAGAATATAATTGGCTTCCCCAGTACTTCCATACCAAAACACTAACTTAGCCAACTCTTTATGCTTGATATTACCTCCACATTGTTTCTAATAAGGAGCATATCATCTACATAAAGTACCAGAAAAGCTACTGTCTTCCGTTGTATCCTTTACATACAAATACACATCATTCATCAAGGTTCTCTCAAAATCAAAATTTTGATAACCTGATCAAAACTGATGTTTCAAGACCTGGATGCTTGCTTAAGTCTATGAAATAGACTTTCACAACTTGCATACCGTGTGTTCCTACTCATTTGCTATAAACCTTTTTGGTTGTTGTATGTAGATATCCTGACATCCAACTCCCAAAATGAAATCTCATAATTGAGACTTATAGCAACTAAGAGAATCTGGATAGACTCAAGCATGGCGTCTGGCAAAAAATGCCTCCAAGCTAGCTTTGAAGGTTTTCACCTTTCTGTCCATCCTCTCTTTGCCTTTTATGTCCACATGCACCTTGTGGGTTTTACCCCTCTTGGTGTATTTACTAGGACCGAACGGAGTTGAAATACAAGTATTTCATCTCATTGTTCATAGCGTGAGCAACACTTGATCAACAACATCTTCTAGTGTATTATCGTAACTAGTAGGATCAATATCACTCAACAAGAGACAACTTGAGAGTTAACAAGGTTCTCTCCTACTACGAATGTACTGCACTAGACCTTGTGTATTTATAGGTAAAACAAATAGTGGGTCAAATGATGGATCTTCAATTTCTTGAGGATCCGATTATCCTTGATATTGTTCCTTTACATGTGATACTAATATTTCAACTAGTTTCACTTATATATTATCATGTTGAATTTCCAATCATGGTTCTCTTGTTTGTTCACTTAGAGATATATCTATCCCCTCTTGAACAATCAAGGGAACAGTGGATGAAGCTTCTAGAGATTCTGGAAATTCTTGATCTGAGATAAATCTCATCAAGAATAACCTAACTTAAGAGCTTATAATTTCTTATCTAGTCCTCCTTTAAGAAAATCATGTAAGTGCTCACTTAGATTATCTTGACCTTAAGACTAAATAAGAAATCATCCCTAGTTCTCTTAGGGTAGCCAAAAGATATGCACTCTTCCATACAAGATTCCATCTCT